ACTTTCGGGGTGTTGTTAACATACATACTCGCAGTGGTTCGCATGAACGGGGTGCGATTCTGATGCCGTGCGGAATTCGCACAGAAATTGCTATGAATTCCGCACCGCATCAGTGTGAACCAGGGCTGAAAGTGAATATGAAAGATGGTTTTGCCAATGAAATTTGTGATGGTGTTGAGATATCTTGGATAAAATATTTGCACAAATACTTCTAAATTAATTATGGAAGTGTGTACCTTTAAAATTTAGCAGTAGGTAGAGTCTCAGCTTGGTACACAAAAAGGACTTTATAGACTGGAACAGTGGTAAAAAAAAAACTGTACAAAAAAAATGGCACCTGTCCCAACCCATAACCAGCCTTAGCAGCAAGGTGCACAAGGAAGGGCAATGCACATCACAAACAAACAAAGGATTTCCCAGCAACACTTACCAGCTAGCTTGCAAAACAACCAATTTGGCCCTGTCTAACAGTTTGCATTAAAAACAGAGGGTTTTGTTTGCACACATTTGCAAATACATGCATTAGCCGCAGTCCCATGTCAAGTGGTCCTCTAAATACTGTGGACCTAACTCTAAAATTTCCAGTGCCTCCACAGTGGGAGCACATGTATCAATGGATAGGTTAAGGGCAGGTGTGCTTGGTGGAGCCCATCCTTCAAAGGTACAGGAATTCATGTGACGCCGAGCTATAGCAAAATGACAGCAAAGGCATCCAGTGTGTCCCTTCATTCAATTCAGTCAGCTGTAAAAACAAAAATGGCAACCGTCCCACCCTGTATCCAGCCTTAGAAGCAAGGAGCACGTGGAGGGACAATGCACATCATAACAAACAAAGGATTTCCCAGCATACTTACCAGCCAGCTGGCAAAACAAGCAATTTTGGCCCTGTCTAACAGATGCCATTTTTTGTACAGCTGACTGAATGGATGCAGGGATGCACTGGATGTCTTTGCTATCATTTTGCTATAGCTGGGCTTCACATGCATCCCTGTACCTTTAAGGAAGGATGGGCTCCTCCAGGCACACCTGCCCTTCACCTATCCATTGATACCGTATATTGTGGAGGCTCTGGAAATTTTAGAGTTAGGTCCACAGTATGTAGAGGACCCTTGACGCGGGACTTCGGTTTATTCATGTATTTTTTCAAATGTGTGCAAACAAAACCCTCTGTTTTTAATGCAAACTGTTAGACAGGGCAAAATTGGTTGTTTTGCAAGCTGGTTGGTAAGTGTGCTGGGAAATCCTTTGTTTGAGATGGATGGAAGAGTGGCAGAAATGGAAGATTGTAATTTGCATAAAATTAACTGATGTACTAACACTTGCAGCTCAGTTAAAGAAAAAAATACTGTGTATAAACCTACTGTGGCCAGTTTTATAAGACAGTTTAAAGATACTTCAATTAAAAATAATCCTCTGCAGAATCTGTTACTCTCAAACAATGCTGAACTTATTACAAATGTTCCTATAAAAGGAAAATCTGGATACCAGTGAGCAGAATGTGATTTTATTTAATTTAAGCTATAAAAAGAAAGCATGTGCTGGATACAAAGTTGAACTGCAAGCAAGCATATGAAATACATTTGCTGCTGTTTTACCTACCAAGGGATATGTATTTGTGTCCATTGAGTCACAAGAGTTATACAGCTCTGTCACATAGTACAGCCAAGTGGTTTTCTGTTACAGTTAAGAATCCCATGGTGTCATCTCTCTACCCCCCAACCTGCTCACTGGATACTGAGGGAACAATAGCAGAATGATAAGGTCATCACTCTGCTTTCTCCACCTATCAGCATATTTCTCTTCAGCAAATCTGAATTCCTCAGATCTGATTATCTACTAACCCTGTCCCTCCCTCTCCTGGTCTGTGTACTGCTGTACAGGAGATGGCAAGAGGTTGAAATTAGGTTGAAATTAGGTCAAATACATGTACTTATACTACATTACAAACATATTTTATGATTTATCAATGGATATACAATATAGTTCTATTACTTTTTGTCTTTTATAGCTGCATGGGGTTTAACTTGAATTTTAAAGTGGTTGTAAAGGTTGAACGTTTTTTACCTTCATGCATTCTATGTATGAAGGTACAAAAACCTTCAGTGTGCAGCATCCCCCCCAGCCCCCTCAATACTTACCTGAGCCCCATCGCGATCCAGCAATGTGAATGACAGCCTCGGCTGTTCCGGGTCTCTGCCTCCTCATTGGCTGAGACAACAAGCGGGAGCCATTGGCTCCTGCTGCTCTCAATTACAGACAGTCAGCCAATGAAGGGAAAGGGGGCGGGGCCACGCCATGGCTCCATGTGTGAATGAACACACGGAGCAGAGGGTGCCCCCGTAGCCAGGGATGCTGTTAGAAAAAAGAAGGCCCCATACATCCAACCTGACAGCCCCCTCCCCCCCCAAAAAAAAACAGTTTACTAGGCTTCAGTTAGGAATGAACACATTGAGTGATCGGTACTGATCACTCATTGTGTTCATTCAGGAAAGGTAGGGGCTGGTAAATGTGACACTGCCACATATGGCACTCTCCATCCTGAAGGATCCTATTATGTGCTTGCAGCTACTGGTGGGAAAGAGAAGATTGAAGCCGGCAGCACTACAGCGGTGGGGGCCTGGGCAGCAGGGGGACATGTATGGTGTCCGGGGAGGCTGATGGGTGTAGCGGGGAGGCAATTACTTGAACTGATCCCCTATATGGCTCTCTCTGCAGCAGCTGAAAGCCAACAGGAGGGAGAGGAGAAGAAGCCAGCTTTCAGCTGTTGCAGAGATTTCCATAACGGGATCATTTCCAGTTATTTCCCTCCCCGCCATGCCAATCACGCTCCCTGCCTACATGCAATTCACCCAGCTGTCTGGGCCCCCCTGATGGCCTGGGCACCATACAGGAGGACTGGTGGTACCCCCTTATCCATAGCCCTGCCCATAGCAAGCTGCTTGCTATGGGGGCACCCAAGAAAAGGGAGGGGCAAGGAGAGCTTGCGGGGGACCCGAGAAGAGGAGAATCCGGGCTGCTGTGTGCAAAACCACTGCACACAGTAGGTAAGTATAGACATGTTTATGATTTTGCAAAAAAAAAGAACCTTTAGAATTGCTTTAAGTGTTCATTTTCCACTTTCTATTCAAGGATTGTTCTCTATTGATTGAAAGTGAATACTGTTGCCAACAATATTTCACAACACCATATTACATAACTTTATTTTCATAGACAGCTGTAAAAACTAAGATAAAATCTAAGTTACCGTACTTACTTCTGGCATGAGAAAAATAAATGATACGAAAACGGCACTAAAAAAGAAATCTAAATGAATGTCTTCACTATTCGAGTGTTACAAAGAATAAAAGATTTGGCAAAAAATGTAAAAAAGGGCAGAAAAAATAAATACAATAAACAAATCCCACAAAAATCTCTAAATAAATAGTAACAAAAGTCAAGGTACTTTTTTAAATTATCTGTAGCAATCCTTGGCCATAACTTAAATGTCTTTCCTTTTACATTAGTATTCTGCAGCTAACATCCTTGATGCATCAGGCAACAAATATCAGTCATGATTGGGTAACAGTTCCTATTGACTGTAGTAGTGGCTCTTTGAAACTGCCCCTAGAAGCTCATTGCCAGCATTATATCTCCCTGTGTAATGATGATTAGTTGTTTTACAGAACACATCTTGTGATTACATCACATTTCCAACCAGGAGTGGACTGACTATTTGGAAACTCGGGCGCTGCCCGAGGGCCCGGGGTCAGTAGGGGGCCCCATGAGATGCCCCTGGTACCTTTTTCATAGGCTTTTTTGAGTTTGGGCAAGGACACAAGTGCCCCATGATCCCCTATTGCCCGGAGGCCCCATGAGTTGTCAGTCCGCCCCTGTTTCCAACTTTAGTCTTTATAGCGGTTATTCATCTTGGGTTTAATTTTTTAAAATAGGAATTTTTAGTACAATTTTCTGTGTTATATGGAGCATGTTACAGGAAGCTTCTAGAAATGTCAATTTTACCTAAACAGCACTCTGAAATATCTTCCTTTGTCCTAGAACTGCTAAAACGCAATGCAATTCCTGTCATCTGGAGATTGTGAGATTGGTGATGTCACCTCTTTGTTGCTCGCTGTACCTGCAGACCAGCCTCTGCCTGTTTCTGCTTCATTCAGTCTGTAGATCTGTACTTCCTTTACATCTCCTGCTCTTGTTTGATTATTCCCTGTCCAGTAATTAAATCTCAGTTTGTCAGGGGGACAGCTCTAATATGCAGAAATACCCTGCACTCTACCAGAAAGACCACTTCCATACAGAGACGGTACAGAATTAAACATGGGAAGTCAGTAATGGAGAAACGATCAGCTGCAGGGAGCCCCAAGGAATGTCTAATACTTTGTGTTTTGGGCACAGCCTCAGGTTACTTCTGATCAACTTGTACAAAAATATACTGTAAAACAGTCCATATAAAGATTTTAAGTGGAAAGTTCTTTACTTTGCCACTTGCCCTCAAGTGGATTTACCTCCCTTCCTGACCAGGCCATTTTTTTCACGATACGGCACTGTGTTACTTTCACTGATAACTGCGCAGTCATACAACAGTGCACCCAAATGAAATTTACGTCTTTTTTTTCTCACAAATTATTATTATTATACAGGATTTATATAGCGCCAACAGTTTGCTCAGCGCTTTACAATATAACAAATGGAGCTTACTCTGGGTGGTATTTGATCGCCTGTGCATTTTTTATTTTTTGCGCTATTAAAAAAAAGACGGACAATTTTGAGAAAAAAACTATTTTTGAATTTTTGCTATTAAACATGTCCAGTAAAAATTTTTTAAAATACTTATATTAATTAATATTTCGTCATAAATTTAGGCCAAAATGTAATCTGCTACATGTCTTTTCTAAAAAAAATCCTAAAGTATAAATTAATTGGTTTACGTGAAAGTTATAGCGTCTACAAATGGCGATATATATACCTGTATTTTTTTTTCTTCTTTATACTAGTAATGGCAGCAATCAGCAACGTATAGCGGGACTGCGGAGGACATTCTGGCACTGGGGGGGAACTGACTAACTGTCACTGACATGCCAAGTGACACCAATACAGTGATCAGTGCTAATAAAAAGGACTGACACTGTGCTAATGGCACTGGGCAGGAAAGGGTTGACATCTGGGGCGATCAAATGGTTAACTGTGTGCTGTTTTACTGTGTGCTGTGTGTGTTTTCACTATGTCAGCACATTGCTTTGTATTACTCTGCTATGAAGAGCAGTACAAACAGGGGCGGACTGACAACTCATGGGGCCACTAGGCAATAGGGGATCATAGGGCCCCTGTGTCCTCGCCCACACTCAAACCACACTCAAAAAAGCCTATGAAAGGTACCAGGGGCATTTCATGGGGCCCCCTACTGACCCCGGGCCCTCAGGCAGTGTTCGAGTGCCTGAATGGTTAGTCCCTCCCTGAGTACAAAGCAATGTGCAGGAGCTGACAGATCTGTATTGTTTACATACACGTCTCTCCCCCGTCAGTGATACTCGGTGATCGCTGGGTGCCAGCGGGGAATCACCGGCCTGGACCCGGTGATCGACAGCTGAGGCCGCCAATGGCGGCGCGGGTAGGGTATGAGCACGCCCCTCACTTGGGAATGCAAAATCACATACAGTATATATATATATACAGTTGAAACTCAAAAATTAGAATATCGTGCAAAAGTTCATTTATTTCAGTAATGCAATTTAAAAGGTGAAACTAATATATGAGATAGACTCATTACATACAAAGCAAGATAGTTCAAGCTGTGATTTGTCATAATTGTGATGATTATGGCTTACAGCTTATGAAAACCCCAAATCCACAATCTCAGAAAATTAGAATATTGTGAAAAGGTGCAATATTCTCGGCTCAAAGTGTCCCACTCTAATCAGCTAATTAAGCCATAACACCTGCAAAGGGTTCCTGAGCCTTTAAATGGTCTCTCAGTCTGGTTCAGTAGGAATCACAATCATGGGAAAGACTGCTGACCTGACAGTTGTGCAGAAAACCATCACTGACACCCTCCATAAGGAGGGAAAGCCTCAAAAGGTATTTGCAAAAGAAGTTGGATGTTCCCAAAGTGCTGTATCAAAGCACATTAATAGAAAGTTATGTGGAAGGGAAATGTGTGGAAGAAAAAGGTACACAAGCAGCAGGGATGACTGCAGCCTGGAGAGGATTGTCAGGAAAAGGCCATTCAAAAGTGTTGGGGACTTTCACAAGGAGTGGACTGAGGCTGGAGTCAGTGCATCAAGAGCCACCACACACAGACGGATCCTGGACATGAGTTTCAAATGTCATATTCCTCTTGTGAAGCCGATCCTGAACAACAAACAACGTCAGAAGCGTCTTACCTGGGCTAAAGAAAAACAGACCTGGTCTGTTGCTCAGTTGTCCAAAGTCCTCTTTTCTGATGAGAGCAACTTTTGCATCTCATTTGGAAACCAAGGACCCAGAGTATGGAGGAAGAATGGAGAGGCACACACTGCAAGATGCTTGAAGTCCAGTGTGAAGTTTCCACAATCTGTGTTGATTTGGGGAGCCATGTCATCTGCTGGTGTTGGTTCACTGTGTTTCATTAAGTCCAGGGTCAATGCAGCCATCTACCAGGAGAATTTGGAGCACTTCATGCTTCCTTCCACAGACGAGCTTTATGGGGATGCTGACTTCATTTTCCAGCTGGACTTGGCACCTGCCCACATTGCCAAAAGCATCAAAACCTGGTTCAATGACCGTGGGATTACTGTGCTTGATTGGCCAGCAAACTCGCCTGACCTGAACCCCATACAGAATCTATGGGGCATTGAAAAGAGAAAGATGAGAGACATGAGACCGAACAATGCAGAAGAGCTGAAGGCCGCTGTTGAAGCATCCTGGTCTTCCATAACACCTCAGCAGTGCCACAGGCTGATAGCTTCCATGCAACGCCGCATTGAGGCAGTAATTGCTGCAAAAGGGGCCCAAACCAAGTACTGAGTACATATGCATGCTTATACTTTTCAGAGGTCCGATATTGTTCAATGTACAATCCTTGTTTTATTGATTGCATGTAATATTCTAATTTTCTGAGATTGTGGATTTGGGGTTTTCATGAGCTGTAAGCCATAATCATCACAATTATGACAAATCACTGCTTGAACTATCTTGTTTTGTATGTAATGAGCCTATCTCATATATTAGTTTCATCTTTTAGGTTGCATTACTGAAATAAATTAACATTTGCACAATATTCTAATTTTTCACGTTTCATCTGTATATGTGATTTTGAACAGCCCAAAATATCACTTTTGTATAATGTACAATTTGCTGATAAAATTAAATGTACCGTATTTTCCGGCGTACAAGACGACTTTTTACCCCTTGAAAATCTTCTCAAAAGTCGGGGGTCGTCTTATACGCCGGTATACGGCATACTGACACTTTTTAGGGGGGTGGCGCGGTGCCGCCGCCGCCCCCCCCCCCCTTCCAATGGAAGGGACACTAAGTACAGGGGTGGGCAGGGGCTGCTGTTTCTTACCTGGCTCCGGTCCCACGACGATCCGGTCCAGGAAGCGCGGCTGCTCCTTCAGTTCGGCCCCTGGATGTTCGCGCGGCTGCTTGGCTCCGCCTCCTCACCGGTGATTGGCCTGCAGAACTGTAGCTCAGGAAAGGCACACAAGCGGCCAATCACCGACGAGGGGGCGGAGCCGAGCGGCCCGGCAAAAATCAAGTGAAGGAGCGGCCGGTAAGTGTGCCGTCCAGAAGTGCTGCTGCAACCACATATGCTGGCTGCAGCAGCACCCTACTAGAACAGAGGTCAGCAAGTGTAATTGGTGTCAGTGGGAGGAATAGTGCCCCATCATTGGTGTCAATGATACCAATGATGGAGCACTATTCCTCCCACTGACACCAACGATGGGGCACTATTCCTCCCCCCACTGACACCAACGATGGGGCACTATTCCCCCCCCCCACTGACACCAATGATGGGGCACTATTCCGCCCCCCACTGACACCAATGATGGGACATTATTCCTCCCACTGACACCAATGTTGGGACACTATTCCTCCCACTGACACCAATGATGGGGCACTATTCCTCCCACTGACACCAATGATGGGGCACTATTCCCCCCACTGAAACTAATGATGGGGCACTATTCTTGCCACTGTTACCAATGATGGGGCACGATTCCTCTCACTGACACCAATGATGGGATGCTATTCCTCCCACTGACACCAATGATGGGGAGCTATTCCTCCCACTGATGATACCAATGATGGGACACTATTCCTCCCACTAATACCAATGATGGAGCACTATTCCTCCCACTAATACCAATGATGGGGCACTATTCCTTCCACTAATACCAATGATGAGGCACTATTCCTCCCACTAATACCAATGATGGGGCACTATTCCTCCCACTGACACCAATGATGGGGCACTATTCCCCCCACTGATACTAATGATGGGGCACTATTCCTGCCACTGATACCAAAGATGGGGCACGATTCCTCTCACTGACACCAATGATGGGGTGCTATTCCTCCCACTGACACCAATGATGGAGCACAATTCGTCGCTCTGACACCAATGGGGCACTATTCCTCCCACTGACACCAATGATGGGGCACTATTCCTCCCACTGGAGTGCATTGCTAGAGGGGTAGTCTTATACGGCGAGTATAGCCCAAACACTACATTTTAGCATGAAAAGTAGGGGGTCGTCTTATACGCCCAGTCGTCTAATACGCCGGAAAATACGGTATTTTAACAGCCTTGTCTCATTTGTCTTTAGATTAGCTCCTTATTAGTGATGGACTTGAACATTGGCCATTCGTGTGTTCGTTGAATACATGAAAGGCACGGGCATTCGGCAGGCTGTTTGCCTGCCGCATCTCATAATACACTGCACTCTGAAAGTGCATTATGATTGGCAAAAGCATTGCACCTCAGCACAGGTCAGGTGCAATGGTTTGGCCAATCACAGGGCATGATGATGTCACAAGGGAGCGGGGTGATCCCACCCCTTGTAATGTCATCACCCTATTTAAGAATTGTCATCGTGGCGCAGCTGTCAGATGGCAGAAGCCAGCGTCAAGGGTGGAGCGGATTTTCTTTTTTTTGCATCGGCGGTGGAGGCGGGCATCGTGATTGACGTTGAATCTACTTCGGGGACATTTTTAATTTTTGTTTTTAATAAAGAGCTTGTGAAAGACTGTCTGTTGTGTTTTACACTACACCTTTTTTTTGCAAATGGGTAGCAGTATCATGTACCGCATACTCATTCACATGGGGGGGTGGGATCTTGTGGACTCCTTGTTAAAGGGGGCTTCCATATTATGATAAGCCCCCCTGCCCACAGACCCCAACAACCACTAGGCAGGGTTGTGGGAAAGAGGCCCTTGTCCCCATCAATATGGGGACAAGTTGCTTTGGGGGGAGCCCCCCTGCCCCAAATCACCCCTATTTTGAGGGCATGTAGCCTGGTATGGTTCACAAGGGGGGGGGGGGGGGGCACTCGCTCTCCCCTCTTTCCTGACCTGCCTGCCCAGGTAAGTGGCTGGTATGGATTTTGGGGGAGATCCCTGTGCCATTTTTTTTTTAATTTTGGCATGGGGGGCTCCCCTCAAAATCCATACCAGACCCGAAGGGGGGGGGGGGGGAAACTATGCTGTTTAAAAAAAAAAAAAAATTTAAACATTTTTCAGGCAATTCCGACAATTCTTTTGTGGGAACCGCATTGACAGCTGAAACATGAATGAATGTTTCACTACTAAAATACCGCATGACTTAATAATAAAACTCATGCGGTATTTTAGTAACTGAGCGGTATCTAACTGCATACTCAGATGCGGTAAGATACCACTCAGTACATTGTCCCTGTTTGAACTTTCAGTAGGTTCGAATGTTCGACCATGAACTGAACAGGGGGGGTGTTCAGCGCATCACTACTCCTCATATCCAGGTGTCCATGTTTTAGGAGGAAGAGAGGCAATTTGAGTTAGTCAAGCTCTATGGCATTGTTCAGTGCTGTCAGTCTTTCACTTGGACGCTTGCTGACAAGAGCAGAGTGCTGATGTTGCTGTTATTTTATTTTTTACAGGTACATATATTGCACCATCAATTTATGCATTGATTTACACATAGATTGTACATTCACATCATTCCCTGCCCTCTAAGGTCCCTAACTCACATTCATACATGCAAATACAAGGGCCAATGTAGACAAGAGCCAATTAACCTACCGGCATGTCTTTGGAGTATGGGAGGAAACCCACACAGGCAAAGGGAGAACATGCAAACTCCATGCAGGTGGTGTCGTGGTGGTGATTCAAACCGACAACCATAGTGCTGCTAAACATTAGTGCTGACCACTTAGCCACTGTGCTGGTATAGTCATGTGACTTTATTGTCATGTCAGCAGGTTGGGAAGTGCATCATTGAGCAAGCTGTTTTGCTTAGTGGAAAAGCTTGCTGGTCTGATTATGTGGTCTAGAAGGGGTACCTGGTGAAGAATGCTGGAACAGAATAACAAATCTTTTGGCAG